ATAAAGATTAGTAAATAAGACCCCATTAAAAATACTTATAATGTAAGTAGCATGGGTCCCAGTAGCCTTTCTAATGTCCATTAATGCTTATTCTGAGGATCAGAGCTCATTTTACTGAGCCATTTAGTCAAACCGTGTGATTATTTAGAAAGTTAATTCATGCATACTAAAATCTAGCTTAAGTAATGCAGAGGGTAGGAGGTAAAACTCTACGGAGACGATAGTCCTTTTTGTTATTTAATGATCAGCCATAATTAACTTGCAAATTTGAAATAATTAGAACAAATTAAAGGTATTTAACTTTGCCTCCCTAAAGAAAAATTCAAATTGCACCAAATACAGCTTTAAATTATTCAAGTCTCAGAGGTCTGTGCTGGGATTTTTTTTTTTTTTTTTTTTTTTACAATGCCTTTTCTATGATGAGAATACCAATCTGCTTTTTGTCAGAAAGCATCCTATCAAGTAATTGTTCTTTGTGTCTAATAAATGACAGCTATTCTTCTTTGTAAAAGTATTTCAGTCTCTGAAGGCTACATCAGCATTTCCATGGCATTTTAATTCAATAAAACAAAAGGTTAATGGGCTTTTTTGGGGGGGGAGGAGTTTGTATTTTTTGTTTTTGTTTTACATTTTAAGGGATGCAAATACTAGCAGTATTCCGTAGGTCATGAATGACAGTTAACATTTGCCATTCAAGCTCAGCAGATATCACGATATGAAGCACTATAAGAATGGAAAGATGTTCAGGGCATGTTCCTTATTATTCTTGAAGAGTTGAGAGGGGTCCTGTGGCACCTTATAGACTAACCGAAGTGTTGGAGCATAAACTTTTCGTGGGCATTTGTACATGCATCTGACAAAGTGGGTCTTTGCCCACGCAAGCTTATGCTCCAACACTGCGGTTAATCTATAAGGTGCCACAGGATTCCTCGCTGCTTTTGCAAATTCAGACTAACACGGCTACCCCTCTGATACTTGAAGAGTTGAGGCATACATAAAATCGGTGGTGAGAAGAGAGAGTAAGAGACAGTTCCTTTTTAGATCGAATTTGTTGGCTGCTCCTGCATTAGGCTCTAGGTTAGTGAGAACCTGGGCCTCTTTTACTATACGTCTCATTGGTCCTCTTTCAGGTAGCAACGATAAAGCTCATTGAAGATGACCGTGTTCTATACAAAGTCATCGTAATCAAACTGCACTTGAAAGTCTTGTTTTATCCTATAAACTGAAAATACACAAGGGCCTAGTAAGTCACGTAGGTCTACCTGCCAGTACAGATTTGTTCCCTTTGGAATATTTTCTAGTTTGAAGTTTCCCAAGGTATGGTCTTCCCTCACTTCCTTCGGTAGATTATTCCACTGCCTAAAACAATGTTTCTCAAACTGTGCTCTGCGGAGCCCCAGGGCTCTGCGAGACATCTCCAGGGGCTTCGCGAGGTTGACAAACTGGAAACATCGATAGGTATAACACATACAATCAGTAGACTTCTGGGCCTCCGAATAATTTTTTACGCATGTAAAGGGCTCTGGAGCCCAAAAAGTTTGAGAACTGCTAACCTAAAGGAACTCTTGTCACCAGTTAGTTTGTCTGAACATCCTCTTTGTTTCATTTCAGTACATTACTCCCTATTAATATTATCTGGTGCCAACCTTTCCCTTCCTCCTTGGTGTTTACATGTTTTCAAATAGATGTGCAGTGTATCCCTTTTTAGAGTCTGATTCTGAAGTCCTTTAGCAAAACTTTAAAGACTGAAGGAATAAACCCTAACAGTGTTTAGCTAAGTTGTTATATAAACTCTCATTGTTTCCTTGTATTAACCTTTCCAACCTCTTAAACCTTTTTGTTTATCTTCTCTGGATTCCCTCTGGCACAGTGTTACCCAAACTGTGCTCTAGGTATAACCTCCCCATGCAAAAAGTTTGACAGTGTACCAGCAAAGTAACCTTCTCCCACTCATTTACAGATCTGCAGAAAAGATTTGTAGGTTCTAATTAGAGGTATTTAAAAAACCCAGAACACAGCCCAACAATGGCTGTCATCTTGAATATCTTTAAATGCCAAAGCACAAGGGGAAAATATCTCTAAAATCCTATATTTTTATAAAGACCTTTTTTACCAGTGAAGAGCCCACCCCTTTCTATACTGTGTATTGCAGGAATTAGTAGATTAATTCCATGTAATTCAAATAAGACACTAATTTAGTCTGCCATACATTTTATTAGCTATGGTGCAACATAATTATTGGTCGTGTAGTTAGAAGTCCTAAAGTAAATGGAGGTTATTCAGAGAAGTTTTAGCCAACGCTGCAGCTAGTTATTATGGGTCATGAGCCATTACATAATGGTCTGCATTAATAATACAGAAGGAGAACTAATTGTCCAATAGACACAGGGGGCCCTATTAAACGGTGACTGGTACAGCACATTGTACTTTTAATGTAGATATCATTTTCTGATGGAAACATCAGAAATCTGCCTTTTTTCCTCATGTATAGTATATTCCGTTGCATAATCTTGTACATACAAATTAATTTCATAGAAACTTTATCCCAAACTTTTGCAATGTACATTTCTTTGGGGTGTCTTTGTAAAGTGGCACTCGTATACTCAACAGATCCTGGTTTTTAGCACTGCAGTCGAGAGATATGAGGAGATGATTACGTGCATCGTCATGAGAATTTCATGAAGGTGAATGCTGCAGAGGCAGTTACATTCTTATGATATTCCTGTTTCTGTTTAAGGACTATTTGCACACACACGGGTCCTGTGGTGGAGTTTTGATGCACTTGTGCAGTGTGTATCTTCTTTTAATAATGGAGAGGGGATCTTTTGGACATCCACCTTCCCATAATTCTGTGGAACTCCAGCAATGCTTGCTACATGAACTCCAGTGCCACCTTTTCCTCCCTGGCTCAAACCACAGTCTTCTGTTTCTCTAACTCCACCCCATGTAACTCGGCTAATGAGGTTCCTAGAACTCCCAGTCACTAGATCCCCTCCATCAGAACTCATTTCTCTCAGACACTGCTCAACAATCTCCAGTCTTATCCTCTGCTGCCCACACTTAATCTCTTCTATTGCCAAGGGCCTTGGCTTTACCAAAACACCCACACCTGCTACTTCAGAATCTCAGATAGCTTCCCAGCTCCCTTACCTCTACTTCTTTCCTCCTGTGCTCTCCTTGTCTTTTGGTCCAGACATCAGCCACTTTGCTCTTGCAAGCCATGGCCACACCTTTCTTCCCCCATTTGCTCTGCCCTACCTCCTCCTCTCTGAAGATCTGCTGGGTGAGAGTCTTTTCCTACCACCTTGGACAACGTTCCTTCCTTGTTTCCTGAGCCCAGTGGCCCTTTCCTGAACCCCGAACTTCCCTGGCTACGAGAATAAAGGAAGCAGTGGCTAGAGCAGGAACCAAGGTACACAGTATTGTCAACCCCAAGTGGCTCAGAAGTTTTGGGCCAGGCCTCTGAAAGTCATGTGATTGGCCTTAACTCATGCCTTTTTGATGCTGCTGTTGCTGAAGAAGAAGCAGGGCTCTATTGCTTTGCTTTTTGGATTCTCCAAGATTTCTTTGTCTGCATGGATCCCAGTTCTAGTGCACGTTTGTCTCAAGTGCAGGAAATATCACATCTAGGAGTCTAGCATGTGGAAGTTGCGTCCAGCAGCTGCAGAATGACTGGAACCGAGAGCAACTAGCTACTCACAGACTCATAGACTTTAAGGTCAGAAGGGACCATTATGATCATCTAGTCTGACCCCCTGCACAGTGCAGGCCACAAAATCTCACCCACCCCTCCTAGAATAATCCTCTCACCTATATCTCAGAGATTGAAGCCTTCAAATACTTTGAAGACCCCAAGATGCAGAGAATCCTCCAGCTGTGATCTGTACCCCATGCTACAGAGCAAGGCGAAAAACCTCCAGGGCCTCTGCCAATCTACCCTGAAGGAAAATTCCTTCCCGACCCCAAATATGGCGATCAGCTAAACCCTGAGCATGTGGGCAAGACTCACCAGCCAGACACCTGGAGGGGACCTTGAGAGATTTTTAAATCCAGTCTCCTGCATTCATGGCAGGACCAAGCAAGGTCTATATCATCCCTGATAGATGTCTATGTAACCTGCTCTTGAATATCTCCAGGGATGGAGATTATACAACCTTCGTAGGCAATTTATTCCAGTGTTTAACCACTCTGACAGTTAGGAAGTTTTTCCTAATGTCCAATATAAACCTCCCTGCCACTGTCAGGAGTGGAGCATTTCTGGAAAGAAGAAGACCCAGTACCCTTCTCTCCCCAGCTCCCCCCCACTACCCTGTGCCAGATGCTCTTCCCTTGTTGGTCTGCCCCAACCTCTTTATCATGCTAAAGTGCTGCCAACACTTGCGATTCTGTCATGAGCCTCGGGATAGCTGATATTTTCCTTAAAGCTCCTTCTCCTAGAGTCAAGAGATTGCAGGAAAATCTCAGTTTTCATTAAAAAGAGTGTGTTTCCAGACCACATGGCTACAGGGAGAAGCATGACCCACACGTGTAAATTCAAAAGCTTGTCTCTCTCATCAGTAGAAGTCGGTCCAATACAAGATATTATCTCACTGTCTTTGCCTCTTTTATAGAAACACCTGTAAACACACCATCTAGTTATAAGCAGGGAGATAAAACCAAATCGGTATGTGTCTGAGTCAGATCTGGGCTTTTACACACCTTAAAACATTCTTGGCTAAAAATGTGGATGTGTGCTCTTAAAATGCAATAACAATGTAACTGACGTGCATGTTCTGAAATGTTCGGTGGTGTTGAGAGCCTGGGAATTCCCCAGAGTCTCCCATTTAAAGTAACTTGCTAACATTTTGATCCCTACCCATCATGCTCCTGCATTAAAATGCTCGAGAAAATAAACAAAGCCACAGTACAACTAGAACGTTGCTACTTCACGACAAGCTGCACAAACAATGCAACAATAATGTACAACATATTAACAGCTCATGACCTTCCACCCCTTCCAGCTTTCCCGTGTCTAAGGGTGAAGATTGCCTTGCAGGAGCACCAGCTCTAGGCAAAGCATCCAAAACTCCAGGGAGCAGCTTGGGGAGGAGAGCGGTTGGTTTTTGTGCAAGCGTGGAGGAAGGAGCCATGTGGATGCATGGAAGGACGGAAAGCGGAAGGTCTAGAAGAGGTAAGATAAAGCATATGCTGTCTTGTGTGATTTTTGTGTAGTATTTAGTAATTATAGACAGGTATTCATGTTTGGTTCAGTTAGGTCCCAAGAAAGAAGGCGAGGATAATAATTTGCTTAAAACAACAACAATGTAGCTACGATAAATATAACAGAAGGTGTGGAAAGCCCAGCACACAGTGAGTGATTTTGTTGGTGTCCCTCACATAGGACAAAATAAACCAGTCCTTTATTGCCAGAAAGAATTACTTCAGCAATTTTTTGCTTTCCCAGCAAACAGGGAATAAGCTTGATGGAGTTTGTTTTTTGTGATGCAATCTTGACAGTCTCTTCTTTCCTGAGTAATGGCTACCACAGTCAGAACCTGATATTTTGCCACACAAAGATGTCTTTGCACCTAGAATCTATCCTGCTCTTAGTATCTCCACTTAAGTTGTGGAGAAAGCTGTTTTTCTTGAGGGGGGGGGGGAATAGAAGCAGTTTGGCAGTTTCACTGCAGAACCTAACACAATCTTTTGTTCAATTATGAGCTGGCTTTTTTTTCCCAGCTTGTCAACCGGTTTGTGGTTTGTGTCAGCATAAAAATAAAAATAAAAAAAGCAACATGAAAAAAAATGTGGTGCAGTTCTCAAAGGAACAAATAGCTTGTATTATTGGTTAAGACTGTACCAACATTAAAAAGCAGACCCTGTGAAGAAACTTTTGAAAGGGTATCATCAGACTGGACCCAAACAGTGGCTGAGGTTAATCTCTTCCAAGGCACAGCTACAAAAGTTGGAAGCCTGCAAAGGGCTTGTGTCCAAAAAAATCAATTTCTAATTTGAAACAAAATCATTTTTGACTAACAGGGGTTCAGGACCCATTACTTTTGCTGTATAGTCTGCTGACATTTCAGCACTTTCTGTTGTGCACAATGAATCCTAATAGTCATTTTATAACATTGCCACACCAATCAATTTAAGCAAGAGAAAACCGTAACAATTCTGCAGAGTTTCAGGAGCAATTTTCACTGATGGTTTTCCTTTTTATTTATTTTTAACCATCAGTCTTTCTTTTCTTTATTTCTAGAAGTACTGCAGTGGTGAAATTGAGATTTTTCACATTGTTTGGAGAAATTTTTTTCTCTAATAGGGGTATTCCTAGAAATTATCTTCCTGTCCACATGCCTCCAAAAATTGTGGCTTCTCCCCTCATCCATCTCATTCTTCTTCAGTTAGTAAAATTACACGCTGCCTTTGCTGGCCTGGGAGTTGAAGGAGTTATTCCAACGTCGCCCTTTTAAGCAAATGTCTTCAAAAGATGTTGGCACTGAGGACACGGAGTGCATGGCAGTTTGACTTACTGCTTTGGCATTTACTGTGGCACCAGAAAGTTAAGAAAAGAGCATTCAAGCTGTAGAACAACCTTGCATCTATTACTGAGTTGGATCGCTTGTTTATCACAAGGCAAATTGCCTAGCACTAATCAGTGAAGTTGAAGTCTTCTGTTTTTAGTGCCTTTTTAATTGGTATCCCTCTGTTACATGTTTGGGTTCCTTTAAAAATCTCTCTCTCTTGCTCGCTCGCTCGCTCGCTCTCTCTCGCTCTCTCTCTCGCTCTTTTTCCTTTTTCTAATTACACCCATGTATGGAATCTACGAGACTCTCATCTCTATGCTAGTTGCTTACTCTTTATCTCCCTTACCACCACTGGTCAAGTGGCACACACTGAGGCTACACTGGGATTTTCCAGAGTTGTAACTTTCTGACTCAGGAGTTCAAACTCCTCTCCCACTTCCCTTTCAAGTGCAGCAAGGTACAGCGCTGTAAAGCACCAGTATGAACCAGGCTCCCAGCGCTGTTAGCTACTCCCCTTGAGGAGCTGGTTAGCAGAGCGCTGGGAGAGTTTAAAGCGCTTTCAGTTTTAAGTATTGCTGCAGCTGCGTTTAAACTTTAAAATGTAGACAAAGCCTTAATTCCTTAACTCCAAATGTTAATCTTTCATTAGGAGTCAGATAACCTATGTCTAAGCAAAAATAAAACCAGGAATATAGAGATTTCTTCCAGACACGGGCCACTATTGGAACATGGGGTTTGCCACACGGCTCAGACCATCGACCCATCAGGTCTGGAATCCTGTTGGCAGTGGTCAGTCCTTTGTGCTTCAGTGGAAGGAAAACTCTTGATGCCCTGCTACAGTGTACTTAGCCAACTCTCTGGGGACAGGGAAGGAAAACAGATAATATCCTGAGGCTGGAGATTTGATTATGCATAGCTGCATCGTTGTGTGTGGTGTTAATTGGCCACCCAGTACCCTTGCTTGGTTAGTGTACAAAGAACCCCATTGATGTGGGAATGTTGTAACTGGTAGATTTTAAAATGTGTATTACAAGTGCTACCATTTCTCCCCTTTTGTCTGTGTTGTTTGTTTGGACTGTAAGTTCTGTGGGGCACAGACTCTCTCTCTGGTACAGCACTAGCACAGTGGAGTCTCATTTGTAGCTGGGGCCTGTGGGCTTCTTGTAATACAAATAATTATAGTAGTGATCCCCATTCATGTGCCCTTCACACCTGGGTCCACAGAATACATGCGTATCAGAAGGGTAGCCATGTTAGTCCAGATCTGCAAAAGCAACGAGGCACCTTATAGACTAACAGATGTATTGGAGCATAAGTTTTTGTGGGCAAAGACCCACTTTGTCAGATGCATGTGAATATATTTGGAGATCCTGCACGTCATTTTTCTCCCTTCTCTTTGTAACAATCTTTTATGTACTTGAAAACTTATCCACTCATCTTGGTTTTGTCTTCTCCAGACTTAACAAATCCAATTTTTTCAATCTTCTCTCATGCATCATATTTTCTAGACCTTGAATCCTTTTTCTTGCTCTTCTCTGGATTTCTCCAATTTGTCCACCTCTTTCCTGAAACATGACGCTCAGAACTAAACACAGTACTCCAGTTCAAGTTTAATAAGCACAGAGTCGACAAGAATTTCCTCTTCTGTCTTGCT